GCTAACGACCATACCAGCGCCGAACAAGTGCATGCCTCAGCACCGGAATGCACGAGAGGGGTAGTAGCCTGTATTGTGTACCGCCATACCCTACACTACCCATATGCGTTGTTTGACAACGCACAAACACCGCTGTACACTTGAAAACGCAGTTGTGTTCTAGAGAAAACTCTACCATTCGCCTATATGTTTGTTAGGAAAACAACACCGTGGAAACTTATACGTGGGTGTTATAGGAACATTTTACCCAGGCACCTCCGTACGCCGTTGTACAAGCACAAACGCCGTGGTACAAATTACAAACGTGGTTTTATATAGTATCCTCTAGCCGTTTTGCTCAATGAGTCATTTACAAGAGCAAATCGTAGTGCCTCATAAGTCATCAATCAGCAGTGATAGAGTCTCAAATAATCTCATAGCAACAATAACCACGACCACTGCTACTCATCGATAATAAGTATAATGCACAGGTGTATCATAAGACGCGCTACGTATATATAATAAGTATATATATATATATATATATTTATATATACGCTTAGAATATATCAAGCTTCCCAAACAATATACTCCGTGTCCGTCACCGCGGGCACGGAATTCGTAATCTTATCTTGATGGAAACAAACGCGATCAGAATGAGATCCTAGGGATCACGCTTAGTTGTTGCATGGTCTCGCAGGTCTGCCGGCGCTATTCCCGAGTCGACCCCCACTCCCACTTGATGGCTGTCCGTGTTTATGAATTCAAGGAAACCAGCTGTACGAGGTCTATCACCCGGAGACGCCAGGAGATCTACGTATTCAATCGCTTCGGGTCAGCAATTACTTCACGAAGAACATCATTGACTGAAGGGCCGCTATACGTGTTTCACTTACAACGTTAACTCCAGCCTACGGCAGGCTGAGCAGAGAGTCACGACAGCGGGCAGATAAGGTAAATGTTAGGTAGTTTAAGGTCAAATAGTAGGTAAATTAGGTAAATAGTACTAATTAAGGCCAATAGCAGGTAATGTATAGTTCAATAGGCCAGGTCAGAATGGAGGCCAAATAGAAGGTAAATAAATCTGGCAAATAGCAGGTCAGAATAGGCCAGGCTTCTCGCGTCACATAAACATGGTCGCTTCATTACAATAGCATATAACACTGAAACGTTCTTATGCAGCCCCATCTATCACATTGCTCTGACAGTAAAATCGATGTAAAATAGGGCCGTACAACGCAAACTTAGTGAAAAAATGACAGCACTATTAAAACTTAAAAGATACATTTACATCAGAATAGAAATATTTTGAAAAAAAAATTTTATTTAACATCTATTAATTTTTTGAAACGAAAACAGATATGTTCAACATTGATTTTAAACAAAACTAATATATAATATATTTATTACTTTATTTATTAATTTATTATATTTGTTTATTTATATCACCGAGCACATTTTCACAAGCGAGAGCGAGCGCTAGTGATATTCAAAATCTTCGTGTTTACTTGAACGAAATTTGCTTCTGCCCAGATAGGTGTCATATACCGAGACTACAGCGCACGGTGACAGCATCGAGACGTCTAACGGGCATGCGGCTAGAGCTCGCACTCTCGCACAATGGGCTACCTGGCCACTAATCCAAGGTCGCAAGACGACGATGGAGTTTACTATGATGCCGCCAACACGCGCGCCGTGCTGGACGGCCAAGTCCAGCTCTAACGGGAGAGCGTGTACTCTACAAGCACGACGAGACATGGGCGTCTCAGCGACGTGTTGCTGCCAACACGGAAGGTGCGTTCGCCGAGGTTGATGTGTAATGTGTGTGTTGGTATTAGGTATCTGTTTCACGAATGCGCAAACATTCGCGAACGCACACTACGCACGCGATACGCACGGTCCCATGACACACGTCACGCGCAACGACGCACGCACGCACGCACGCACACGCACGCACGCGCGCGCGCTTAACGTGTTTCTAACTAATTTAGCCTTAATTTATGTTTCAACTTTCCCGTTTGGGCTTGGAATTATAATATTTCGCTGGTTAACAATGACGAATAACAAGAATGATTGGAGACGTGCCTCGTATCCTTAACAAATAAGTCACGCATACACTTCAGCACGTCGCGAAATACGCATCGACCTCACATGTAAACGCGCTAACCAATCGTAACTGCTGCGACCTGTTACGCGGTATTGTGCTGAAATGACCTGACAACGTGGCTCCGATAGTAACGCTGAAGAGGACGACCATGAAGGTGTCTGAGACAATCATCCTGCCCAACAGCCTGGAGAAAAACACAGGAATACACGAGAGCAGAGTAGCTGCTGCATTGAAGATCACTCCGTCATGGAGACGCCGGGCTAGCATCACAGTCACCATGGAAATCGGAAGCCACCCACTAATGGACAATTCCAGTATTCACGTTCCGCCGTCAAAAGAATAGGTAAGCCATTCAACGATTAGTTGCCTTGTGTAGGGTGTAGACTGATAGCAAGGAGCGATGAGGTGAAAGCCAGAGCACAGAGTCAGGAGAAGAGAGCAGCAGAGAGAGCAGAGAGAGAGAGAGAGAGAGCCGAGAAGGGAGAACAAGTGCGGAGCAGAGGAGAAAGAAGGCAGAGGGAGAGGGAGGTAGGGACTGAGAAGGAATAGTACAGACACACAACAGCACTTCAACACACACACACACACACACACAACACACACACACACACAACACACACACACACACACACACATACACACACCCACACACACACACACACACACACACACACACACACACACACACACAACACACACTCACACCCCCCCCCCACACACACACACACACACACACACACACACACACACACACACACACACACAACATCGACACCACGACACGCCAGCACGCACGCACGCACCACACACACACACGACACACACACCACACACACACACACCAGCACAACAGTCTAAGCGCGTCCCATTATTTCTTTTTATAGTGTGTTTTGACATATGCTTTCTCCTGATACGACCTTTCTAAGTATAGTGATGCCCTTGAATGTGCTGCTGGGTAGGGGTACTGAGCCATGAGGCATGTTGGGTACATTAGTGCATTTTCTGTGGCAGGTGACCGATTGGACAACGGATGCAGCAGCAACCGGATCGAGATGGCGTTACTACCATGCGCAGAGATGCAGCGGGTTCCAGTCAGACGTGGGGCAAGATGGCCGTAGACTCAAGGTGAGTTCTCGACAAACCCTGCTTTTTCTTCATGCTCTTCTTTTCTTCATTCTGGAACCGTCTGTTGCTTCACTCGTGAACAGGTATTTACAATGCAAAAGCATGGTTCGATGAATTGTTACCATGTGGAAAATATTGCATCGTGATAATGCGAGAAAGTAATGGCATCATGATGGAAAAATGAAATCTATGATGAGTTATTTTATACGATAAATTTTTGTATTTGAAACGTAAGATTGAATGCCGAAACGAAGTCAGTTGCTTGATCCCACATGTGGGAGATACATCGGCGACCATAACCAGTGTCCCGTCATCAGCAACACTCAACAAATTTGGTTTACTGATGATTGTATAAATTACCCAACTTTTTTTTTAAAACAACATTTGTTCGTAAACAGTTAGAAACTATCATGAAGAATAATGCCATAATTGCCGCACATTGACTTAGCGGTATGACATTATTAGACTCATGATTCAATAACTATTTGTGACGCTTCGTGACAACGCTCCCATAGAACCTTTCATCAATGTCAAGATCACTTTAAATTCGGGTATATACGCTATTGCACGCTAACGACGAATTTCGGCCGCCTTTAATCTATTTAACATTTAATTAATTGCCACTCGATTAATTGCAGCAAAATTGGCGGACACAGCATGCGGTAAAGGTGGAGTTCGTGATCGCGAGGAGCGGGCAACGAGACCTGTTCAGACAAAGGAGACGCGCAGCAGCTTGCTGACGACTCAAGTACACGCAGGTTGGCCAGGCCCGTGTCTCATCTTGGCCGACCGCATGCGCAGACTGGGAGCTGTATTCTTTCCTACAACACTGCGGGGACGGTCGACAGGAGTGCGCGCGGGCAACGTCTCATGAGGAGTACAACTACGACCGCGACGGGTCGTCTGCTGCTGGTGCCCTACCAGCGCGCAATGAAGAACTGCGCCTACACCTTAACGGCGACACTAGTGCAGGTATGCGTCAAATTGGGTATTCTTGCATATTTCTGTTTCTGTTTCTGTTTTATGTTTATGGTTTATGTTTAGCGTTATGTTTATGTTCATGTTCATGTTTATGTTTATGTTTATGTTTATGTTTAATGCCTATATTTACGTCGAATTCTATGTTTACGTTTAACCTAATCGTCACTTCTCTCTCCGTTTCTGACAGCCCGTCAAGGTACGGCTACCTGGCGGCGAGCTAGTAGCAGCTGCAGCTAACGACGCAGCGAGGGCAACCTGGCCGTCAGGTCACCGATGCAACGCGCGCCGTGCACAGCTACCAGCTGCTGCTACTCGCTCGGCTTAACCTTGCGCAGAGCTCTTACCACGCGGCACCGCAGTTCCGACGTCGTTTCATACTAGGACTACGACAAGCGACCGGTCGGCTGCTGCCGCCCGTCTACCGATGCAACCAAGGCCCGCTACTGCATCGCCTACGACGACCACGCGCTGCTGCGCCGAGATCGCATTCGACAGCACGGCTGATTAAGTACGACTACGACGACCGCACGAGGCCTGTGAAGTCCTGCATCAGATGAGTCATGGAGTTACGACGCGAGATGACCGCGACTACAGGCACGTCGGGCTGAGGACGACCGAGATGACGTGTACAGGTGAGAGCCGGGGTGGTAAAGCCGAGGACGGCGGTGACACGCTTGTCTTCATGCTGGGGGGTGTGTACGACCTAAACATGAACATAAACGTAAACGTAAACATAAACATAAACATAAACATAAACATAAACATAAACATTGAACATAGTGGTAAGAAACCCCAATTCTGACGCTACCTGCACGTTGTCGCCGTAGGTGTAGGCGAGTTCTTCATTGCCGCTGTAGCGCACCAGCAGCAGACGACCCGTGCGGTCGTAGTTGTACTCCTCGTAGACGTTGCCGTGCCGCCACTCCTCGAGCCGCCCCGCAGAGTTGTAGGAGAGGATTACAGGCTCCCAGTCTGCATGCGTCGGCAGCAGAGACACGGGCTGGCCAGCCTGGTTGTACTTGATCGTCAGCAACTGCTCCTGCTCCTTGTTGAACAGTGTCTCGTTGCCCGTCTCGCGATCGAACTCCACCGTTAGCATGCTGTCGCCATTTTGCTGCAATTAATCGAGTGGCAATTAATTAAATGTTAAATAGATTAAAGGCGACGTAATTCGGTAAGGTGCAATAGGATTACCGAATTTAAGTGATTGTGACATTGATGAAAGGTTCTAGGGAGCCGTTGTCAGAAGCGTCACAAATAGTTATGAATATCATGAGTCTAAAATGTCATACCGCTAAGTAAAGTGCGGCAAGTTATGGCATATTACATTCATGATAGTTCTATTTGTTTACGACAAAATGTTTGTTTAAAAAAAAAGTTGGGTAATTTATACAATCATAGTCAAACCAAATTTGTTGATGTTTGTGATGACGGGACACTGGTTATGGTCGCCATGTATCCTCGGACATGTGTGATAACAACTGAATTCGTTTCGCATTCAATCTTACGTTTCAATTTATCGTATTAAAATAATCATCATAGATTTCATTTTTCCATCATGATGCATATTTCTCGATATATCACGATGCAATATTTTCACATGGTAAATCATGCGAACATGTTTGCATTGTAAATACTTTCAGAGTGAAGCAACAGAGCGTTAGAAGAAGAAAGAAGAGATGAAGAAAAAGAGGGTTTGTGAGAACTCACCTTGAGTCTACGGCCAATCTGCCCCACGTCCTGACTGGAACCCTTGGCATCTCTGCGCAGGTAGTAACGCCATTCGATCCGGTTGTGCTGATCGTGTCCAATCGTCACCTGCCACAGAAATGCACTAATGTACGCACAGCTCATGATCAGTACACTACCCAGCAGCACATTTCGAAGGGCATCACTAACAGAAAGTGTCGTATAGGGGAAGAGTATGTCAACCACTATAAAGGAAATAATGGGACGGCTGTAGACTGTGTGTGTGTGTGTGTGTGTTGTGTGTGTGTGTGCGTGCGTTGCCGTGCGTGCGGCTGTTGCGTGCGTGCGTGGTAGTGAATGTGTGTGTTGTGTGGTGTGTGTGTGTGTGTGTGTGTGTGGTGTGTGTGTGTGTGTGTGTGTGGGTGTGTGAGTGTGTGTGTGTGTGTGTGTGTGTGTGTGTGTATCTACATTCCTCCTTCAGTCTCCTCCTCCCCTCCTCCCTCTCCTTCTTTCTCTCTCTCCCCTTGTCTCTCCCCTTCTCGCTCTCTCTCTCTCTCTCTCTCTCTCTCTCTCTCTCTCTCTCTCTCTCCTGACTCTGTGCTCTGGCTTTCACCCTCACTGGCTCCTTGCTATCAGTCTACACCCTAACAGGCAAACTATCGATTGATGGCTTACCTTCTTTTTGACCGGAACCGAATACTGATTGTCCATTAGTGGGTGGCTTCCCATTTCCATGGTGACTGTGATGCTACCCGGCGTCTCCATGACGACGGAGTGATCTTCAAGCAGCACTACTCTGCTCTCGTGTATTCCCTGTGTTTTCTCCAGGCTGTTGGGGCCAAGGATGATTGTTTCAGACACCTCATCGTCCCTCTTCAGCGTTACTATCGAGCCACGTCTGTCCAGGTCACTTTCCAGCACAATCCGCTGTAACATCGCAGCAGTTACGATTGGTTAGCGTGTTTACATGTGAGGTCGATGCGTATTTCCGACGTGCTGAAGTGTATGCGTGACGTATTGTTAAGATACGAAGCACGTCTCCAATCATTCTTGGTTATTCGTCATTGTTTAACGCGATATTATAATTCCAAGCCCAAACGGGAAAGTTGAAACAATAAATTAATGGCTAAATTAGTAGGAAACACGTGTTACGCGCGCGCGCGTGCGTGCGTGCGTGCGCGTGCGTGCGTGCGTGCGTGCGTGCGCGTGACGTGTGTGCATGGGACCGTGCGTACGCGTGCGTGTGTGCGTCGCGAATGTTTGCGCATTCGTGAAACAGATACTAATACACAACACACACATTCACACATCAACCTGCGAACCCACCTTTCCTGTTGGCAGCACCACCTCGCTGAGACGCCCATTCTCGTCGTGCTTGTAGAAGTACACCTCTCCGTTAGAGCTGAACTTGGCCGTCAGCAGGCCCGTGTTGCCATCATAGGTAAACTCCATCGTCGTCTTGCCGACCTTGATAGTGCTCAGGTAGCCCATGTGCGAGAGTGCGAGCTCTAGCCGCTGCCCGTTAGACGTCTCGATGCTGTTCACCGTGCCGCTGTAGTCTCGGTATATGGACACCTATATGGCAGAAGCAACATTTCGTTCAAGTAAACACGAAGATTTACTAATCACCTACCGCTCGCTCTCCTTGTGAAAATGTGCTCGGGTGATATAAATAAACAAATAAATAAATAAATAAATAAATAAATAAATAAATATATATATATATATAGTTTGTTTAAAATAAATGTTGAACATATCATGTTTTCGTTTCAAAATTATATTAGATGTTAAATAAAATTTCAAAATATTTTATTCTGATGTAAATGTATCTTTTAAGTTTTAATAAGTTGCTGTCATTTTTTCACTAGTTCGTGTACCTATTTTACATCGATTTTACTGTCAAGAGCAATGTGATAGATGGGGGCTGCATAAGACGTTTCATGTTATTGCTATTGGTAATAAAGCGACATGTTTATGTACGCGAGGAACCACCTGCCTATTCTGACCTGCTATTTGCCGTATTTATTTACCGACTATTTTCCTTATTCTGACCTGCTATTTACCTTGTTTATTTACGTATTATTTACCTTATTCTGTCCTGCTATTTACCATATTTATTTACGTATTATTTACCTTATTCTGACCTGCTATTTACCTTATTTATTTACCTTCTATTTACCTCATTCTGACCTGCTATTGACCTTAATTACCTACTATTTACCTTAATTACCTACTATTTACCTTAATTACCTACTATTTACCTTATTCTGCCCGCTGTCGGTGACCCTGCTCAGCTTGCCGTAGCTGGAGTTGACGTTGTAGGTGAACACGTATAACGCCTTGCCAGTCATGATGTTCTTCGTGAAGTAATGCTGCCCGAAGCGATTGAATACGTAGATCTCCTGCGTCTCCGGGTGATAGACCTCGTACAGCTGGTTCCTGAATTCATAAACACGGACACCATCAGTGGGAGTGGGGGAATCGACACGGGGAATAGCGCCGGCAGGCCTGCGAGACATCGCACAACTAGCGTGATCCTAGATTCATTCTGATCGCTGTTTGTTCCCCGATCAAGATAAATTACGATTCCGTGCCCGCGTGGACGACCACGAAGTATATTGTTTGGGGAACTATGATATATTTAAGCGTATATATAATATATATATATATATATATATATATATATATATACGTAGCGCGTCTATGATACGCCTGTGCATTATACTTTTATGAGAGTAGCAGTGTCGTGGTTATTGTTCTATGAATTATTGAGACTTATCACTCTGATGATGACTTATGAGCACTACGATTGCTCTGTAAATGACTCATTGAGGCAAAGGCTAGAGGATACTATAAAACACCCACGTTGTAGTTGTACCACGGCGTTTGTGTTGTAACAACCGTACGGGTGCTGGGTAAAATGTCTCCTATAACACCCACGTTGTAGTTGTCCCACGGTGTTTGTTTTCTAACAAACATATAGGCGAATGGTAGAGTTTTCTCTAGAACACACGCGTTTCAGTTGTACCACGGTGTTTGTGCGTTGTAACAACCATATGGGTAGTGTAGGGTATGCGGTACACAATACAGCTACCACCCCCTCTCGTGGCATTCCCGGTGCTGAGCACTCACTTGTTCGGCGCTGGTATGGTCGTAGCGATGGAGCGTATCCTCAGGTTACCGAGGTCGGCTACGTGCACGCTGGAGTCGGGAGTAATGGTGATGGCGCTGGGCGTGTTGATTGCAGCGTTGAGCGCGCTCGCGTCGGCCATGTTGTAACACATGCACGTCGTGTCCTGACAGTTGCAGCGCGAGCGGCCGCCGGCGAACACGGAGATCTTTCCATCCGTCGACACCTTTCTGATCTGTAACGGTAGGGTAAGGATCAACGTTAGCAATAGCGCTGCTAACAACGCACGGGGGTGTCTCTCCTCCTCATCCACTCACCCGAACGTAGTTAGTTACCAACATTTCACTCGGCGGGGGGAGGGTAAACGTTACTAATTTATGGCTACATTTCTGTTGGTTGGTTGAGTTGCAGTTAGGTTTATATATGCGGTTCGCAGTTCATAGGCAGGGTTCGCATATATTGGAACTAACGGAGAGCCATTCGTGAAAGTGCGGACGTCCATAACTAGGCGACTTCATGTATTTGATATTTTTCCTTCCCCCATAACAGTTACCGCGCAGGAACAGCACAATGGCCTCTAACCACCCTTCGCGCTCTCTCGCATCACACGCACGTACAACCGTCGGCGTCGCCCCGCCTCTCTCGCTGGAGATCTCACGCACCTGGTGCACGAACTGGTCGTCGGTCTCGGCGATGTAGAGGTCGCCAGCGGGCGAGAAGGCCATGTCGCGGATCGGTGCGAGCACGATGCGGTCCGCCTGTCCGCTCGTCGGCAGCTGATGCTCCTCCGACTGACAGTGCAGCGGCGTGCCGGCGACGATCTTTACGTAGCCGTCTGGCGTGAGCATGTACACGGTGTTCTCGTCCGTGATGTACACGCTGCGGTCGATCGGGTTCACGGCGACTTTGGTCGGCCACTGGAATTGAACCTGCAAGCGACGTCGCGATACGCATAAGACAGGGGGAATGCATAGGGAAACTTTGAAGCTCGGATCGCGTGAGGGAATCCATAAGAAAGGGATAATGTATAGAGAAACTTCGAAGCTCGGCTCGCGTGGGGGAATCCATAAGAATGGGGAAATGTATATGGAAGCTTTGAAGCGCATGGGGGGAAACCCCGCTGTGCGCACGTAGGGAGACTGCGCCAAGAAAAACAGAAACGATGCGAGAGCTAAACACGCGTGGCACCATTTTACGCGATTCTTGATGAACGCCTAGTTTTCGGCAACGACGAATTTGCACTGAAACGGCTAGTTAGCGGTTGATGCCCGTCAAAGATATACTTACATACCCCGCAAAAATCCAACTATCGGCTAATTATAACGAATGAGGAATCACGAATAGCGAATAACGAAAATAACGACCACGAATAAACTACTCTAGCAATGACGGATTCTGTGACGGATGAATCTCTGTGGAGCCAATGCTGTACGTTTACCTCGCTGAACGTGATGGGCCCGCTGCAGGGCACGCGGTTCCAGCTGCCGGAGTACTGTCGCTTGCCGACGATCGTGTTGATGTGCTCAGTCTTGTTCACCATGCGGATCGTCATGCCGTCCGCAAAGTACATGTTACCGTTCTTGTCGAAGGCCAAACCTTTAAGGAACGGTCGCGAATGTAGATTTTTTCTACTTAAATCTAAATATAACTGCTGAATTGACTACCAACCCTACTACCTAAACCGAGATTAAAAACGCATTACTCCGCCATTATGTGACTACATTATAATATCACACCCTAACGTCTATTTAGCTAAAAAAAATATTTATTAATATGTAATTTAATCCATGTCAAAGTTCAGCAAGATAGCTCGGTGTTTGCATTATGGGGTATCACCAGGTTCATCCCCCGCATCCCCCGCGTGTTCCCAGCCTCCGACCTTCTCCCCCGCGTGTCCCCAGCCTTCGACCCTCTCCCCCGCGTGTCCCCAGCCTCCGACCCTCTCCCCCGCGTGTCCCCAGCCTCCGACCCTCTCCCCCGCGTGTCCCCAGCCTCCGACCCTCTCCCCGCGTATCCTCAGCCTCCTACCCTCTCCCCCGCGTGTCCTCACCCTCCGACCCTCTCCCCCGCGTGTCCTCACCCTCCGACCCTCTCCCCCGCGTGTCCCCACCCTCCGACCCTCTCCCCCGCGTGTCCCCCCTCCGACCGTCTCCTCCGCCTACCTTTCGGTCGGCTGAGTTTGGCGTTGATAGCCAGCCCGCCGTCGCCGCACTCCTCCTTGTCGCCAGGCAGACACTGCATCTTGTCGCCGACGGCCACCTCGAAGTTCTCGCGCACGTTGCGGATGCTGCGCAGCGACTTGATCTTGATGATGGTGCGCGTCTGCGGGTTGGACAGGTACAGCTCGCCGGTGATCGGATGCACGGCCAGGTAGTAGTTGTACGGCAGGCTGTCCGTGCTGCGGCAACAAAACACACGGAGTCAGGGGGTGTTAACGACAAAGGAGGCGGGGGAGGGGGTTAGCAAAAGTGGCATGCACGACAACGACACGCACGCGTACGTGCACACTCACTCACGCACGTGCGCACACACGCACGCGCGCACACGTACGCACGCACACCTCAACTCGCGTATAGCGATTACTACAGCCAAGACCATATAAACCCTGGCGGAAATATACACGCTAAATGCCCCCCCCCCTACGGACTTTACACGCTCTTCCTACATCTCAGCTCGTGTATAGCGAATAGTACAACTCACCTCAGCTCGAGTATGGTGAACACTTGACCGTCGGGCGTGATGCGACGCACCAGGTTGAAGTCGCCGACGTAGATGCTGCCGTCGGCGCCGCTCGCCAGCGCTGTCGGCGCCATCATCGTCGTCTCGTGCATCGAGCCGGAACATCCGGAGCTGCAGTCGAGGCTGCGTCGCTGCCCCGTACCGACCATCGTGTGAATAGTCGGCGGCTGATCCTTCAGGTAGACGTTCGTGCCGTCGCCCATGTGCAGGATGCCTGAGGAGTAGGCGCAGCGGGAGAGTGAGCACGCGCGCTTACACGGCGAGTACCGGGTAGTAGATGTGGAGTTACGTTACTCAGCCGTCACGCGAGATGCGTTACGGAGCCGTCATGCAGCGATCACGCGAGGCGTGAGTGTTACGGAGCGGTCACGCAAGATGCGAGAGTTACGGAGCAGTCACGCAGCGATCACGCGAGGCATGAGAGTTACGGAGCCGTAACGCAGCGATCACGTAAGACGTGAGAGTTACGGAGCCGTCAGGCAGCGGTCACGTAAGACGTGAGAGTTACGGAGCCGTCACGCAGCGGTCACGCGAGACGTGAGCAGCCTGTTCTGCTTGCATCTATGACAAATACGACATACGCATATTCGCTCTCCTATGACACTATTTGTCATAGGAAGAATCTTCCTATGACAAATACGACATACGCATATACGCTCTCCTATGACACTATTTGTCATAGGCAGATTCTTCCTATGACAAATATTGTTGTATGTGTTGTGCGCAGCATAGGGGTTTAGGAGCATTATTATGAACGCAAGCAGTGAATTTCAGTTGTAAAGCGGAACGAAGTTGACTCGCCAATATTTTGTCGTAGGAAGAATCTTCCTATACAATACTATCGTAATAGTGTCATAGGAAAGCGTATATGCGTATGTCGTACTTGTCATAGATGCAAGCAGGACATGTTGACGTGAGTGTCACATGAGATCACGCAAGACGGGAGAGTCACGCAGCGGTCACCACTATCAGCAGGTAATCTCTAATTCTATCACCGTAATTAAATAAGAACCAAATTATCGAGATTAATTCGAATGAAATGGATGAGATGATAACGTTAGCGGGGTACACGCATGTATTAATTAGTAAGGTGAGAGATTGCAGGAGCCCCACTAACCGCTGATCACTGTCAGGTGTGCTACTGAATGTGTAGTCTTAGCCAGGCTAGCTTCTGCTTGTTAGCACAACGCTGCTGCTGATTATTGGTGAGCGCGCGTGTGGAACTCATGTTACCCATGAGCGGAAACGCGTGAGGAACAAATTTTTTTTAACGTATTATGAACGTATTATTGTGATGGCACATGAAGTTGAAGACGAGTGAGCAGCGCACACTCACCCTCTCTGACGTTGTATCTGTGGTGTACGTCCAGGTCCCACTCGCCTATCTCTGATATCTCGATGTCGTAGCCGCTCAGACTTGTCGTCTGTGTGTCCCAGAACACCTCGTTGCAGTCGCCGTACTTGTAGCCAACGCTTACTGCACGCGAACAGACACACACACAAACACGATCATATAGTAAACTGTGTAATAACCTCTTCTTTTTTCCACTCTTCTTCTTCTTCTTCTTGTTATTATTATTATTAATATTATTATCATATTCTATATTATAAAGTAACAACGATAGATTCGAATTAATAATAAATGGGGGTGTTATTTCTCTTGATAGTTTTAATGTATCTGCTGTCTGCTCACAGGGGCATTGGCTAATATGCTGTGTAACGTTTGAGATGGATAAATGATTGGACACGATGTTGATCGAACGACTGGTGTGAATGAACCTATGAGAATGCGGACTTACCTCTGGCCGTCACTATTCCGTACACTCTCTGTCGGTAGATGTTTCTACGGTTCCAGGCATAAGTGAACTTCAGCGATGGCTCTGCTTCTAGTGTGGTCTCATACTTTACACCTTCCACCTATAACATCGAAGAAACTCAGCTAAGTAACGTTAGGAAACATTAAATAAGAAATATAATATACAATAACATATCGCAAAAACATGAAAAGCATATAGAGGCCTGTTATCACGAGTTATCTCATTGGCGCAAACAAACCTCCAAGACTCCCCCTGTCCCAGACACGCACGCAGCCCTCACAAACAAACAAACAAACAAACAACAAACAAACACACACACACACACACACAAATGAAAATCCCCAACCCTATCCACAACCCTAACCTTATCGTCACAAAAGTATCGCTCTAATTCTTTATACGCCTTATAGAAATGCTTGGTCTACACAACCAGTGCTAACCCCGTCCACGTACCTCCACCCTCACCACGACCGTCTGCAGCGTCTCCGGTAGCGTCGGCGGCGTCAGCTTCATGATGAGCGTCGACAGGTAACCGGACATCTTGCTGCTGTGGTAGACGAGGTTGAGCCGCGTACCTGGGATTGGCACGCGCTCCTGCAGCACCTGCGACTCGGCGAGCACGGCGCGCTCGGTCGCGCAGCCGCCGCGATGCGACATCTGCCACGTCGACACGACGACCGGCTTCATCACGTGGAAGTCGTGCACGGGACAGCGCTCGCCCGCGTGCTCGGCGACGAGCGCGGGCGGCGCTGCCGACGTCGGCGTCAGGACGACGGCGTCGACTGTGACGATCTGGTTCCAGGGCACCATGACGGCCGTGTCGGCGGTCTGGTAGGGCGTGCGCTGGAACTGGAGGATGATGGTGCCTCCGCCGTTCACGAGGAGATCGTACCTAATAAGGGCGAGAGAGCGAAGGTTAAGTTTAGTTCACGACACACCGTACGACCGACATCTCTCAACCCTGAGTGAGACAGAGGGGGAGAGAGGGAGAGAGAGAGAGAGAGAGAGAGAGAAAGAGAGAGAGAGAGAGAGAGAGAGAGAGAGAGAGAGAGAGAGAGAGCGAGAGAGACGGTTAAGCCAATGACGCTCGGTACAGCTTACAGCTCTCAACCTCAAGATTAAGTGATGAAGACGATTAATAACCCATGCATGACATGAGGTTCAACAAATGCTGTAACTTAACATAAGTAAAGGTAAAGGTAAAGGTTGAAGAAATTTCTACCAACATTCGCTGAACCGTGCGACATGCCGCGTGTTGCAGATATCATCAAGAGCTAATAATACCTAGAGTGTACAACGGAAAAACGGGAAAATAGTTATCGTGGAAAAACCGAACTCTCACAAAGCAACCTTACGGCGAGAAGGATGCCTGGACTCGATGTGGATCCGAAGCCCGTAGGCCTGTGAGAAGAAGTTTACGAGCAATACTCAGCCTAGGAGTACGTATTGACAATTCGGTGGCTCGTGTTATAGAGAGCAAAGAATTGCTGCTTAATGCAATACGCATAAAACTATCTAAAGACCGCAGGCAAAGTAGAATAAATGCCCGGGGTGAAATAGCACTCATTTTCCCGTTTTTCCCGTGTACATACTAGTATATTAGCTCTTGATATCATGCGAGGTAACTTAACGATGAACGGGTTCGAGAAATAGAGAACTGCTTCAAGCTCAACAGATCTACCAACCAATGTGTTGTTTAACCGCTTTTATGTTAAACGAATTGGCAACATATCTTGAAGCATGTTCATCGGGTTTAATCACTCGTCACTAAGCTCTAGTAGCTACATACGCCCCGCGTCATTACCTGCGCGCAAGCCTGCGGCAGTTACATGAACGCGGCTACTAGACTCGAGCTCTCAACACTGTGCGCTCTGCCACTCTCGCTACTTGCTGTCCTGCCACGCACTCTTCGATCCATCGGTCTTGCTGCGTAAGCGCACGTCATTTATTCGCACTATTCCAATTCGCGAGGTACATCTCTTCTCTCATACAGTCACGCTAACTTGATACTCATTTTGTGTAATCTTGTCGTAATTAATGCTCCCTATTCGCATCCCGTATACCTACCCGTTACATTACCTACAGGTATATGCATCTCGTATCTCCAACCGGATAAACCTCAGTTAAAAATCTACCGACGAGCAAAAGGAACCGAACACCGCCCCGCCGCACATGTGCCCCCCCCCTCCCGCCACCTTATCTCGCCGTGTGTTCGTTTCTCGCGCCGCTAGAGGTCGCTGGCCGCTCACCCTGCCATCCTGTCTCGTGATGTGAGATCCAAACAGGCGGCTCGTTCATCACGCTGACCCTGCAACGCCGACGACGGCGCAGCCGTGCATGGTTGAACGACTGACCCGATGAGATCCTCGGATCACTGTCGCTGGCCGTTGCATGCGTCACTCTGGTGGGCGTAGCTCTGCACGCTGCCTCCTCGACGAAGGAAGCCGTGTCGGTCGTTAGAAGGACCGTACGGGCGAGCCAGAACAGAAGGCGATGAGAGAGGAGGATAGGAGAGAGAGAGAGAGAGACCCAGCGACGGACTAGAATAGAGAGAAGAGAGAGATAGAGAGAGAGAGAGACACGCGACGGACAGGTAGAGAGAGAGAAAGAAAGAGAGAGAAAGAAGAGAGAGAGAGAGAGAGAGAGAGAGAGAGAGAGAGAGAGAGAGAGCGCGAGAAGGCGAACGAGAGAGGGAGAAGAAAGAGAGTCAAATTAAGGCTCCCGCGTGCGCTTAGACGCCTTTCCGTGGCCGAACACAGACAAAAGCTATATGTTAATTAGACAAGGCGTCCGAAATCTCACGCCATTGTTCGGCAGACATACAGCGCGAAGTTGTGCTGACAGGTTTGACCCACTTTGTCGACGCGGGACGCGGCAAGAAGCTATTATGGACCAAATATCCGCATAATGATTACCCGGTATTAATTGGCAATAGGAGGGCGACTGTAATCACCTAATTCGGCTGTATTTAACACGACGGGGATCATGGTACATAGTTATAAAAGCGAGACGCTTTCGGGATTACAACTGTTGATGCGCGCTTCATCGCTCTCCGTGTTTAGTGGCGCGTGAGATATATGCCCCCGTTATGCCTGATAGACCCGAGTGTCGGGATCGTTCACCCGCGGTCCACTCAAAAAGTTGTCGAGGATTGAAAATGGAGTGATCTATCGTCCGACAACACAGGGTCGCACACGCCCCTACTGTGTAAGCGAAGTTAAGACATATTCGTCTGTGGATTTGTGTTGATTGGAAAACAACTGCACTTCGCGATCGAGTATTAGATCCTAAGCGCTCGCTAGAATCGACTGATATAATTTTATATGGATTCCGGCTTTGCAGTTGTTGTCTACTCATGCATGATTTGTCTGATTAGCACGGTGCACACTGTGTGTGAGTAATTGTGAGAGACCCTGGTCTGTATCTTACCTGTGATCGCTGGGTGGTTTGCCGCCGTCAGTTACACCGTCGTCCGGTCCGGCTGTGCCCGTGCGCGCACAATCGTACCCCCGTGGCTGGTCCTTGACACAGCTGCGCGGCTTTCGCGAGATGCCGTCTCACTGCAGCACCGCATCCTCACAAAGTCCGTCAGACCGTCTGCACCGCCACACACGCACACTCACAACTCAATTGAAAATCAATATAGTATGTATACAGCTCTGCTCTCTCGCCTCTCTCTCTCGCTCTCGCTCTCTCTCTCTCTCATCTCTCCTCCTCTTCTCTCTCCCTCTCTCCATCTCTCTCTCTCTCGCGTCCTCTCTTCTTCTCTCTCTCTCTCTCTCTCGCTCGCGCTCCTCTCTCTCTCTCTCTCTCTCTCTCTCTCTCTCTCTCTCTCTATATATATATAATTGTATATATTATATAGGTGTCTCTATATATTTCCACGGTCACAACACAGCCACACCGCTTGCATTTGCTCTCTGGTTAAAGTAAACACGTCACGATGAGTGTGCATTGTTATACTTATTATGTTATGCGAAAGAAAAGTAGTAGCACTATTTCCTGTGACGTAATTACTTTGCGCCTACAGACGTGGATAATATAACACTTGAGATTGTAGTGACGATATGAGTTCTCTTAATCCCCCTCTTATATTCCTCAGTGTCAAGAGTCATGCTAAGGCGTTGCTGGGTTAATATCCGAGTACCAACAAGAATTAACTCTGCCATTTTTCCGAAAACCCACTCGCTTTCATATTTTCGCTCTCTGGCAGTCGGTCGTGCCCAATGTTTGGTAGGTAGGTAAGTAGGTAGGGAGATAGGTAAGTAGCGCGCTGACTATTGTCACTCACCGTTGTCGTTGTCAACCCTGTCATTGCACTCCATTTCCTGCGGAATGCTGCAGCCAATGCCAGCCCACGAGGTGAAGCAGCCACACTCCCATTGATCATTCTCCTGCTTGCACGTACCGTGGCCGCTGCAGCCGGCTGGGCAGCCGTCTGTGTGCCAACAATACAGAAAGTTTGCGTATTAGTTCATCATTTTATCATGCTAGCACGTAGGACAATATAAATTCACCCATTAATCGACCTGAATTTACAGCCATTAATTGCCTTACGTAAATGCGTTCTACATTATTAGCACACAACCGCAAGCACGCACACATGCACGCGCGCACACACACACACCCACACACATATACACGCAGACGTACGCACACACGCGCGCACACACACACGCACACGCACACACCCACACACATATACACGCAGACGTACGCACACACGCGCGCACACACACACGCACACGCACACGCACACGCACACGCACGTACACACGCACACGCACGTACACACGCGCGCACACACACACACACGCACACGCACACGCACACGCACACGCACACACACACGCACACGCACACGCACACGCGCGCACACACACCTTATCGAATGAATTGCTACACTCATGACTGCAAGAATGATCCTATTCTAATTCCCGAGATGCACAATTTAGTGCACGTAATGCATGGTGGTATTTTTTTAATCCAAACATGCAGAGCCTGCATTAAAAATGGTAATATCTTGCAAGCTTACAAACAATGACACCCATGCATCCCGTCGTTAAACTGATCAAGAGAATGGATGTGTGTAACGACGTAACAATTGCAGGTCTATAGTCTCTCGTACCTAGCAGGCAGTGATTGCCGTTCCAACCCGGGTGACAGGTGCAGGTTCCGTTGTCGCATGTGCCGTGGTGCAGGCAGCGCGGGTCGCACGTGCGCACGTCGCACTCCGGCGCTGTCCAGCCACTGTCGCACTGACAGCGACCGTTCTGACACACGCCGTGTTGACCGCAGTCCACTGCGCAACGCTCTGTAAAACGGCGGCACGTGTGGTCAGAGTACTGCCCGAGGGGCTGAGTGCTGGACACACGAGAGGGTCCAGCGATGGGCATACCGGGGATTAAAGGCAGCCTCCCATTTCTAGCAATTAATTAGCAATGAGCCATCATTCAAGGCTGCTACTGTTATTCTTGCCCAAGACGCTTACGTTACGCACACGTATGGCATCTGCTATCTTCATAAATCCTATAGATATTCTCCTGAGAAGGTATTAAGTTAAGCTGGAGGAGAGTGAAGAGGGGAAGATGGGCAGGGGCAGGGGCATTCATACGAGAAACGGACAAAAACGACGTTTTAACGCGTAACAGTACAGCATTCGCAAGGAGCGTACATCTCACGCACGCACGCACGCACGCACACACGCACGAACGCACGCACGCACGCACACACACACACACGTAAGCACGCACGCACGCACGCGCACACACACACACACACACACACACACACACACACACCACACACACACACACACACACCACCCACACACACACACACACACACACGCATACCGCACATAACATGTAAACAAGGCGGACGCACACACGCACGCAAAACACGACAGCGCCTGAAAACGAAACAAGCGTAGGATTAGACACACGACAGGCGAACAGGCGACACGTGCGCGAAAGCAGACGTGTGGCCGACTAGTGATAATTGCATCCGTAGCTCTCGTGTCCCCTCGCCATCTCGCGACATTAGCGCTCGCTGACGGGTGACACGGCGATGTCATATACTACACATCGTAGCATATCGACAAAGAAGACACAGACAGTCACGACACAACAGACAAGCATGCGACAGTGTTGATGACATGCTCAGACGACGACACAGGCATCGATATTTTGTTCGGCATGGCGCGTGGGTAAATGATTGTGTGTGTGCGCGCGCGTATGTGTGCATGCGTGCGTGCGCGTGTTACGTACGTATTAGGGAGCGGGAGCGGTGCGTGTTACCTTCTGAGCAGTCGGCACCCGTCCAGTTTGGATCGCAAATACAGATGTCAAGGTCTTCCCTGTAGGTGCCGTGATTGGAGCACTCCTTCTTGCACATTGCCGCAGTGTCAACGACACCGCAATCGTCGCCGCGGTAACCACGGTAACACAAACAAGTGCCGTTTGCACACATGCCATGGCCGGTGCAGTCAGGTGAGGGGCAGTCAACTGTAAGTGCAAGCAGGTGAATACACGTGCTACGAGGTGTGCGAAGGCGCATATCGACTCTGACCGTTGCTTTGCGGACGCTTCTCAGTGCAGAGGGAATCGGGAAAGCGAATTAACTCGAAGTTTCCATTCGATTTTGTTCGTAACCCTTTATAAACGCCGAGCTGCCTGATGGAGAGATCTACTACTCATAAACATTTCACTTGGAGCAACTCCGAAGTAGTTTCGCATTCCCGATTTGCTCTCGCCGACAGTGGCTTACAACCAGCGGTCGTGTTTGAAGGTCCCGGTCACCTGTGTGCTAGGATGTATCGCAATCCGAATTGCCGGGGTTTGGGGGCGATGATTTTTGCATGCAGCGGCAGCGGAGCGAGAGAGCTCTACTCGAGAGAAGCGAACGAGTCTACGTTATAAATGGCGCTGAAGCAATTAAAAGCGAGCGAATGGAAAAGGAAATGCAACTGAAACGATCGCGTAACGTGTGCTAACTCCCAAAGCGGCATAGCTAACAGTGATGATTTAAAAAAAACTAACATCTAATATTTATTTAGATTATGCCATTGAGGCATGAGAACTCTTTCGATTGCATGCTGTCAAAGAAGGCAACTGGCTTGCGGGCTGGCATATTCATTAATCATGAGCATAGTGTAGGGTTCGTAAGCCCCTACGAATTTTCAAAGACGAAAGCCAGTTGCCTTTTCAACGTTCGATCATAGCAAATAAATTTCATACGTCCAACAACAACTAAATACGACATTTACATATGACTTAGTCGGCGACGTCGTCTGCGCGTTTCAGCGTTCACTTGTTTTCAACCGAAACGCTCTCGACTAGGAAGCGAAATGGCGAAACAAGTGAACGCTGCAGACAGCTACATTTTCCGCTTTCTATGCGTAGCGGCGATGTTTAGCTAGTGCGCTGGCGCCTGCACTAACCTTCTGAGCAGTTTTCTCCCTTGTATCCGTTGAGACAAATACAGGTTCCGTCGATGCATCGCCCTCTGCCGCTACACATGGGATCTGCGCACTGGTTAGACGGGATGTCGCATTCCACGCCCTTCCAGCCTGGGTGACACTTGCACTCGCCACGGTGGTAGACCCCGTTAGAGCTGCACAGTACGGGACAGACGCCTGCAGCAACACAAACACCGTGCCATTAGACGTACACCCGAGTGAACACCGGTCAATTGACGGTGAATGATTTGATGGGTTTCTTCCCCTCTCTGTCCGTCGGTCTCTCTTCCTCTTTCTCTCTATCTTTCGTTCTCAGTATTACTCTCCCATTCCGTCTCTCTCTGGCCCACTTCTATCTCGCACTTATTTGTTCTTCCCCGTCTCTCTTGATATCATGCGAGGTAACACGATGAACTGTGGTTCGAGAAATAGAGAAACTGCCTTCAAGCTCAACAGATTCTACCAACATGTGTTGTTTAACCGCTTTTATGTTAAACGAAGTTGGCAACATTTCTTGAAGCATGTGTCATGGGTTTAACACTGCACTAGCTCTAGTACTATAGCCCGCGTTCATTAACTGCCGCAGGCCTGCGGCAGTTAATGAAACTGCGGCAGGCCTGCGGCAGTTAATGAACGCGGGCTATAGTACTAGAGCTAACACTGCACCAGCTCTCGCTACTCTGTGCCCACGCACCTTCGGAGCACGTTTGCTGCGAGAGTGCACGTAATTTATTCGATAGCAAATTCGCAGGTAATCTCTCAGGTAATTAGTACGTACTGATAAACATTTTGTGTAATCTCTCGTAATTAATCCCTATTCGCATCCCGGAGTACCTACCGGTTATCATTACCTACAAGGTATATCATCTCGTATCTCAACCGCGGGATAAACTCTCAGTTAAAAATCTACCACGAGAAGAAAAGGAACCGAACACGCCCGCCGCACATGTGCCCCCCCCCTTCCCGCCACATTATCCCCGTGTGTTCGTTTCTGCGCCGCTAGAGGTCGCTGGCGCGCTCACCTGCCATCTTGTCTCGTGAGTGTGAATCCAAACAGCGGCTCGGTCATCACGCTGACCCTCACGCCGACGACGGGCGAGCCGTGCTGGTTGACGACGTGACCGATGATGACCGACACTCGGCTGGCGTTGAGCGCACTCTGGTGGGCGTAGCTCTGCACGCTGCCTTCCTCGACGAGGAAGCGCGTGCGGTCGTAGAAGGACGCTGTACGGGGCGAGCCAGACACAGAGGGCGATAGAGAGAGAGAGACAGAGAGAGAGAGAGAGAGAGAGAGAGAGAGAGAGAGAGAGAGAGACAGCGACGGAGGTAGAGAGAAGAGAAAGAAAGAGAGAAAGAGAGAGAGAGAGAGAGAGAGAGAGGGGCGAGAGAGGGCGAACGAGAGAGGGAGAGAAAGAGAGTCATAATTAAGCTCCCGCGTGCGCGTAACGCCTTTCCGTGGCGAACACAAAAGCTATATGTTAATTAGACAAGGCGCCGAAATCTCGACGCCATTGTTTCGGCAGACAACAGCGCGAAGTGTTGCTGACGCGTTGACTCACTTTGTGGACGGAGACGCGGCAAGAAGCTATTAGGGTAACAATACCTGGCATTATGTTACCCGGGTATTTAATTTGCAATAGGAAGCGACTGTAAGCACCTTAAAATTCCGGCTGTATTTAACACGACGGGGATCAGGAGCATAGTTAGGAAGCGAGGAGCGCTTTCGGGATTACAACTGTTGAGCGGGCTTCATCGCTCTCGTGTTTAGTGCGGTGAGTATTATTGCCTCCGTTAATGCGAAGACCCGAGGCGGTGATCGTTGCACCGCGGTCACGCAAAAAAGGTCGAGGATTGAATGGAGTGGGATCTATGCCGACAACACAGGCCACACTGCCCCTACTGTGTAAGCTGAAGTTAAGACATATTCGTCTGGGGATTTTGTGTTGGATGGGAAAACACTTGGCACCTCGGGGATCGAGTATTAGACGAAGAGAGCGCTCGCTCAGACGTCGACTGATATAGTTTGATATGGATTCGGACTTGAGTTGGTTTGGTCCTGAGCTAATGATGATCTGTCTGATAGCACGCACACTGTGTGTGAGTATTGTGAGAGACACTGGTCTGTGATCTTACCTGTGATGCTGGGTGGTTGCCGCCTCAGTAGCACCTCGTCCGGGTCGGGTGCCGTCGCGCACATGGCGTGGTCCTGACACACCGTCTCACTGCAGCACTCTGCATCCTCACAGTCCGTCAGACCGTCTGCAAAACATAGCCACAAAGGAAATCCATCGCATAATCCAATAACTGAGAAACCACCGATCCATATTTGCTCCCTAACGCTGACCAGGCTACTGCATTAGAGAGAGCTGCGCTAGTAAACTGCACTAGTAACACTGCACTAGAAACTGACTAGTAAACTGCACTAGTAAAGTGCACTAGTAAACTGCACTCGTAATCTGCAGCGGAGAGCAGTATGAGATAGCTGCACTTGTGAATTGCACTAGAGATCTGTACTAGAAAGCTAAACTAGTAAACTGCACTGGCGAGCTGCACTGGTGGTCTGCACAAGTGAGTTGCACTGAGCTGCACAAGTGAGTTGCACTGGAGCTGCACTAGTGAGCAGCACTAGTGAGCTGCAATGGTGAGCTGCACTAGTAAGCTGCACTAGAGAACTGCACTCGCGAGCTGCACTAGAGAACTGCATGGAAGTCGAAGTGCCTATTCATACAGTGAAATGCAAGGCCGCAAATTAGTTGAGACTTCAGTGACAGCAGTTAACAAAGATGGATGGATAAGAAAGATGGTTACAGAGAGAATAGGGGGAGGAGAGGGAGATACAGAGAGAGGGAAGAGAGCGCGAGATAGTGAGATAAAGACGAAAGAGTGGAAAAAGAGAAGAAATCAGAAGTAAAGAGATCAGAGAGAGAGAGAGAGAGAGAGAGAGAGAGAGAGAGAGAGAGAGAAGAAAGAGAGAGAAGAGAGTGAGAGAGATAGAGAGTGAGAGAGAGAATAGAGATAGAGATAGAGATAGAGAGAGAGAGAGAGAGAGAGAGAGAGAGAAGAGAGAGAGGAAGAGAGAGAGAGAGAGAGAGAGAGAGAGAGAGCGCG